AAGTGGGAGGTGGAACCAAAAAGAGGAATGCCGTGCTAAAGTTTCCCCTTCACAGCCAAGACTCCTGTTATCCCCTCTTTTGAGGGTGGTGATGCTCTGAGAAAGTTCCAAGTGTACTTTGTGCCCTCAACTGGGTCTTCTTAGTAAAAACAAATATGGAAAAACCAAGTATTTATCTTATGTGGCCACCTTTACTCCCAAGGGTGTTCTTACTTTTGAGGCAGTGTTTTGGGGCAGAGAACTGTACTGAGACCTGAACTATGTTTGTGGAAGAATTGAAGGAGCTGCATATGTTCATATTGCAACAGAAAGTTGGCATTCTTAGGACCAGAGCTGCTGTACTTCTATAGGCAACTGGTTACACCATGGTCCTTACCACATTCCATGGTGTTCTGTAGAAAGGACCGGTGTGTACCCCTGAACTGGAAGAACTAAATTGCTACCATGTTACCTATTTCTTTGCTACTTTAGGTGTGTTTGGTGGGTCAGTGTACTCATTTTCTTCAATGGGATACATTGGCTTTATAGCACAATTGTTTCTTGTTCAATAAAGATTGAAAGTAGTACTTCATCCTTCAGAATCTAATGTTAGAGCTTCATGGGTCTATATTACACAGCTGGACTAGGACTTGGCCAAGCCTTGCAGTTGGAGAAAACTTATTCAATCAAAGGCTTGGGGTGGTGTGGCTTCTCTAAGTCCACTATCCCTATCAGAACAAGTATTGTATGAAGATATTGATAATAACTGACCAGCAAACGAGAAACTTGGTCATGGAACACAGAACAAACAGAAGACATGAAAATGCATAAATCCTTTTGTGACCTGTCAGGGAAAAAATTAAAAATCTAATTTTACAGCTCCTAAATGTTTATTGTAGAGCCCGGGTTATACAGAATCTATTGCTGTTTCATTTTCTTAGCAAGTGAGAATCTATGTCTGAAAGCATTAACTGGCTTTGCTGAAAGAGATAAGCTCTATGGTTCAGAGAGAGGAGAGAAGACTTCTGGGGTAGTTTTGATCCCATCTACTTTGGATCTAAAGAGAAATCCCTCCCACCACTGCAGTACTCCTGCTCCCATAGGCAATACACATCTCAATTACAAGAGACCAACGTTTTCTATACGTATCATTAGATCAGGTAGTCTATTTGAAAAAAAAAACAAACTAAAAATACTAAAAACTTATAATGTAAATAACAAAATGAGTTGTTTTTCTTGTGATTAAAATACAAATTTTATTTCTTTGTGCATCCATACAGGTCTTTAATTGTTAGTTCGATTTGACCCATTTCTTTGGTCAAAGCAAAGTGAAAGGCTTCTTTTACATGTGAGCCCCTGTTTATTTAATTTTTGATCGTGTGGGACCAATGGCCAGTATATCCCAGTAGAAACAAATTTCCTAGCCCTTATCTACCATTACGTGTCCACCTTTCCGTGTCCATCTTACAGTGACACCTACCTTGCATCTGCCTGTCATTCTGCATGACTGCACTCCAAAAACCATAACTGATGAAGAGAACTGTCCTATATCAGTGTTTATGAAATGTATTTATAGCACACAAGCTAGGGTTACTCCCTACACCTGTTTATTTAATTTTTGATCGTGTGGGACCAATGGCCAGTATATCCCAGTAGAAACAAATTTCCTAGCCCTTATCTACCATTACGTGTCCACCTTTCCGTGTCCATCTTACAGTGACACCTACCTTGCATCTGCCTGTCATTCTGCATGACTGCACTCCAAAAACCATAACTGATGAAGAGAACTGTCCTATATCAGTGTTTATGAAATGTATTTATAGCACACACATACACACACACTTGTGCACATATGCCCATAGAGTTCTGTATCAGCCCAGAAGTCAAAATCATGTATGTCCAATTTCTTTGCAAAGTCTCAGAGGTGAGACCTGTTGTTGGTAGCCTGGTAGGTTCAATGTGCTGTCAATGGTGTCCAGTATGGATCAAAATCATTCAGTCCACTCCTGTGTTCTTTCTCATGTTCTTTCATTTCCATTTTTTCTCTTATTTTATATATGTCTGTGGAAAAGAGTACTGATCAGAGAACTTTGACTCCTATTGACTCTTTACAGATGGGATCAACATATTGTGATTTGTATGTCTTATGGATTATTAAACCTGAAGGAAGTATACTTCCGGTCTCATAAAACCCAATGAAACCTAGACTCTGTTGGCTTTCCTTTTGGCAATGAGTTTTGTTTGTGCTGCTTTGGTTTCATGCATTGCTGGAGCTAGAAGGGCTTCCACAATTTCCTTCTGACCCATTGAAAGAAGCTTTCAGAGTGGTCAGATCATACCAGAGAGTAAATAAGAAGGAAGGGATGGCCTCCTCCTCAGCCTAGACACAGGTCTCCCTGCAGAGTGGTCAGATCATACCAGACAGTAAATAAGAAGGAAGGGATGGCCTCCTCCTCAGCCTAGACACAGGTCTCCCTGCAGAGCGGCATGTTTATGCTTGAGATTCCTTCCTTCCAAAAAGGCTTGGGTTCCCATCTGCCTAGTTTCATGCCTACAATTCAGTAATAACCAATACAATAACAACGGACAAAACTCATTGGTAAGCAGATCGGGACTATGTTTTATTTTCCAGATTGATCAACAAAATTCCCAATTTTAATTTTGCTTGAGAGATTTATTTTCTCTACACCATTATCTCAGACTTCTTGTTGAATTTAACGATATGCACTACAGCTTGGTGCCCTTCACTGAACTTGTCATGGTTCACCTGACAGTGTCTGAACAATGTTGAGGCGTGGCCTACATATTTCTGTGAACATTACATTTTCTCTATGTGGTTAATAAAAAGATTGAAAGGTAGACATTTCTATTATTTGCGATTATTACACTTTTATTTCAGGAAAACAAGTGAAAAGCTGTTTATTACCTTTGCGATGACTTTTACTCTATTTTCTAATTATTTTTATTTCTTCTTTTTCGTTCTTTCATCTGAGGGGGAGATAAATGGAGGTTTCTTTATAAGTAAGCTAGATGGTCCTGGTACTGTCAATCCCCTGCCTCTGATTGCAAGCTTGTACAAATATTTCTGGCTGCCTATTCTGACTTCAACCACAACTCTTCTTCTTCTTTTTTTTAAATTAAAAGTGACCAAGCATACATATCTAAAAATACCCATAAGAGTAAAAAGGGCAAATTCATTCTTCATGATGATTGCCCAAAGTGGGCAAACCGTTCATACATTCTGTGAACCATAGACCATTACCGTATATTTGATTGTTTTGATAAAGTTCATAATGAGGCAAGATAAAGGCTACTGCACATTATTTTCTTGAAGGGGCTAATGGAAAATCCAACCTAGAAGGGTGAATCTACTTGCTCAATAATAGAAGCGATTGTAAAGAAGGTAAAGGCTTTTACCTTACCAACTAACTCAGCACTCATTGCTGTGTTTTATACATGTAGCATACCCCCACAATGCTCCCAAATGCCTGGAAGACCTGTCCAAATAGTGGTGCACGAGTGTCCTATTGTCTCAGGTCTGCTCATGGCTGGCCCCACTGTGTGTCATGAGTCTTCCCTTTTGGTTCCAGATTGTGTTCCACAGGTTCACAGCACCTAAAGTCAATGGACTATACTACAGAAATCTACATTTCTCAAACACACAAAAGATAAGGTATAAACAAACAAAGAACCAAATAACCCAGCAAAGCCCACCCCTTTCTGTCAAATGTTTCTTTTTAAAAAGGTATGCTATCGGTGTATAAAAATCAAGACTAAGTAAGTCCAGACTTCGATGTAGAGGATTCATGTTTACTAAGTAGGGTGGGGACTTCTGGTATTACCTTCCACTCCACTTTGCTTGAAGTCTTTTTGTTCAAACAATAGTCTATTGTTTGCCTCTCAATAGCATATGTTCCGTGTCTTTATCTTACACACCCTCTGTAGTCTGCTTAGAAGACTGGATCACACATTATGAGCTTCCCACTAAAAATATCAAAGTCCACGTTCATGAAAGTATTGTCTACAAACAGTTACACAGAAAACAAAATTTTACAGTGCAAATAGCATTTCACACAGTTGAGGGGACTAATGATTTTAAATGATTCCTTTATAAAAGGAAGACACTTGAGAGCAGTTGCGTGCTCCATAGTGGGTTGGTAACTTGGGTTGGCATAAATTAATCTATAAGAAGGTTACTTTGAATGTCTAGTTGAATTTCTGAGCTACATTCTAAAGTATTCATCACTCCACAGCAAGAACATCTATTGAACAGTTCGGGGTAGGAGACAAATGTATTACGATTCTTATCCTCAAAAATGCAGCCAATAAATCAATGTCTAAAAAAAATGGTCAATGCAAAATATCTTATTAATATTCTTTTAAAACAACAATGTTTTTAAGTTAGAGGTGCATCCTAAATGAACCTATTTTTATTATTGACATAAAGAAGAGATCTTCTTTCAATGTTCTCATTTTGTCTAATTGTATTTCAAATATCCTTAATGAACCAGCACAAGAGAATTATGGGTATTTTCCATTATATTATGGGGATTGACAATTTTTCAATTCATAAAAGAAGCCAGCATGGGTATTCTTTTCTCTGCGTTGTGGATTATTTTGATATCTGTTCCCCCAGGAACTTTTAGGCTGTGGGGGTGAGCTGGAAGCTGATGGTCTGGCCCAGCTGTCTCCAAAGTCACAGTAGTAACTGGAACTGCTCTTCAGTCATACTCCAATCTGAAGTCAAATCCTGTGTTAGTTGCTCAGTCTATGGGTGATGGTAGAAGTCCTAAAATAACTTAAGATACAATCCAATTATTTCTTATTTTGAAGATTGAACCCAGACTGTTACTGAATATCTCTGCTGGAAAAGGGTGATGATGCAAGAGGAAGAGTTTGTAGCTGAGAGGATGTGGTGCATGGCAGGCTCAGGGGTGATGGTGTGAAATAGATCCAAGAATGGTGGGGACAGATTGTTGTGGCCTGTAGTTACATAGATATAGCTAACCAGGTCTGCATGGTACGCTTTGCTATTCATTCCCCACTTAGTTTCTTCTTCCGTTTTTTTTTTTAAATATTTATTTAGGTGTATGAATGTTGTCTTCATGCATGGCAGAAGAGGGCATCATATCACATTATAGATGGCTGTGAACACCCATGTGGGTACTGGGAATTGAACTCAGAACCACTGGAAGAGCAACCAGTGCTCTTAACCACTGAGTCACCTCTTTAATACCCCAACAACCCTGCTAGCTTAGTTTCTTATGTGCGGATTAGGAATAAACAAATTGCATTTAGGCAGGTCAGTTGTTCTATTTCTTCTTGTTTTGGTAGATAAGACTCACGAGAGTAAGACACCAGAATACTCATGATAAGGAACCACACACCAACTTGATCAACTAGAGAAGCAATAACTCCAGGGGACAGTGGTAATAACTTACCAAGGTCAGTAGCTTGGAGTCCCTTTTAAGGAATATCCAAGAAAGGTAGATAGATGAAAGGAACTGACCTAAAAGAGAAGTGGTTATTAGAGAGTGGATTTGTGGCAGGAATGTTTAGGAACTTGTAGAATGAATGAGGTGTAATCACAAGTGGGGCTGCCTGATGTTCAGATGGGGTATATGGTTTTGAGACATGGTCAAGGTGTAGCAGAACTCATGGACTGAGGGGAAGAGAAGGGCACAGATGTTTGCTGTGTGAGCTGAGCATCTAAGGCCATCAGAGAGGAAGGAGGATCAGAAACCTGACACTGCTGGGAAAGAAAGCAGTACCTGCCCTTAGCCTCAGGCCAGTGCTGTGCAGGTTGGAATAAAGACAGCACAGCAGAGGGGCTTTCAGAAGATGCTGTGATTTAGAGAGGAGGATTTAGGGTGGGCAAGGGCCAGGTGTCAGCTCTAGAGGGATAATGGAAAAACATGAGGCTGGCTAGGGCATGAGGGCTGGAGTGAAGGAGGGGATGCACTGAGCACTGCAGGGGAATCACATAGAGGCAGAGAAGTGGAGTGGGGGTTGGGTAACATGGACCACGGGAAACCAAAGCTAAAGACATAGGAGCAAAACACTGGCATTTTTGTCGTGTTGTAGCTGTTAATACTGTGTTATGTTTAGAATCAGGCAGTTACAAAAGAAGCAACTTTCTTAGGCTCCTGGTAGGGAGACTGGAAGTCTAAGATTGGTCAGCCATGTGGGGAGGACCAAGAGCCAGAGGTCCTACCTTTCAAACATCTGTTGTCACAATAAGCAGCCTAGTGTTTCCAGA